GACTTGATAGGTCCTTCAGGTGTTGACGTCAGCGATGGCGTTACTAAGGAGATGCCGCGTGAATGCAGCCTTGACCATACAGCTGTTCTCACAGCTGTTCCATTTCATCAACATGTGGTCATTCAACAAGGTGGTGACGTCGCCTACCAGTCCGCATCCTCAGCAGCCCCACGGCGTGTGTTACTGCACCAGGACCTGGGGCCTGAGGTTGAAGTCAAAACTGGCGCAGTTAGAGGCGTGGGCAGAGCGACAAGGGCTGGAACTGGCCGCAGATTGCCATCTGGCTCGAATTATACAAGCGGCACATTTGTTGCAGGTACTGTCACGGAGAGCTGTAAGTTCTCTAGGTTTCTGTTAATTAACTTGGCCAGGCGTATTATATTACTTGGATGAACGATATTTTAATGGCTCAGGTACATTCAACGGCTGAAATGTAGAGTTCAAAGGTAAAGTACATTCTTCAAGTTTTAGCATGGTCTGCCAGTCGTGGTTTGAAAATCCCGCTGCTCTGCTGGTATAAATCGTGCTTTGTGCCCTTTTCTGTAGGCTCCAAAATACAACGCAGATGATCTGGCGACACTGAGCTCCACGTGCTTCAAACTCAACTCGCTACAGCTTCGATCGCTTCTGTCAAAATACCAGCCAACGCCTGATGAGCCTCGACTGCCGCACGAGCTGATCGAAAACGTGGTGAGGGTACGTTCAGATAATTTTAGGTGGTGGTCGGGGATTGCGATTGCTTTCATAATGTCGTCTTGCTGTATTTTCTCAAGCAATTGCACCGTTTATCTTAATTGCTCATAATTTGCTGTAAGAAATGGATCATTGTTTATTTTCCTTTGTGCACCATTTATTTTGCACACTTCCTGATTACCGTTTTCTCACCCTGAGGCAGTTTAAAATATCCGAGTGGATGAAAACTTAAAGGACCAGCACGTGCATCTGAGGTGAATGCCAAGTTCTTGTATCGCATGTCGTAAGTCCTTTCACACGTCTTTCACATTGCTTTGCGTTTAGAATGCACAAGATTGTAACGAGAAGGTCACGTTTTTCCATTTATAGCTGAGTTTGG